GGCTTGTTGGCTTCCTCCTGTGTGATATGGTTTATGATTCTGTAATTCTAATACTTGGTTACTGATGCTGTTATATGAGGCTAGTACACTGAAAGGATCAAATGAAGTGCACCATTAAAGGACATGGGCCACTGAATTGGTCTTGTGTCTGAGAGAATAACCGAGCTATATTCTTCCTTCAACACAGCCTTTCACTTGACAGTGAAATGCTAATCCTCTGGTGTCTCTTCCTGCCAGCACAGCTGAGATAAGGAAAGTTAAAAATAAATGTGAAATTCCATTGATTGAGATACTATAAAAGTTAGAACAATGTGTCCCAGGCTTCATTAGAGAGTATGATGTGTGACAGAATAAAAACCTAAACTCCCAAGCAGAAACTCTGTTGTAAGGTTCAGATGGGAGTTGAATTGGTGGGCACATTTCAAACATCTTTTTGATATGGTGACTTTACCATATCACCTGAACTGTGACATTAGAAAAATGCCTCCAAGCGCAGAGTGGTGTTTTATTGCTCATAATACCCAGGAGGGACTGACTTTTAATTTTAAACTGATTTAATTACTGTTACGGTACAATGTGAATGCTTTGATCACATTTTGTGAGACTATTTAATTGCATATAATAAAAACCCTTATTTGATAGAGATAACAAGGTGTGGAGCTGGATGAACACAGCAGGCCAAGCAGCATCAGAGGAGCAGGAAGGCTGACGTTTTGGGCCTAGACCCTTCTTCAGAAATGGGGGAGGGGAACGGGGTTCTGAAATAAATAGGGAGAGAGGGGGAGGTGGATAGAAGATGGATAGAGGAGAAGATAGATGGAGAGGAGACAGACAGGTCAAAGAGGTGGGGATGGAGCCGGTAAAGGTGAGTGTAGGTGGGGAGGTAGGGAGGAGATAGATCAGTCCAGGGAGGATGGACAGGTCAAGGGGGTGGGATGAGGTTAGTAGGTAGGAGATGGGGGTGGGGCTTGAGGTGGGAGGAGGGGATAGGTGGGAGGAAGGACAGGTTAGGGAGGCGGGGACGAGCTGGGCTGGTTTTGGGATGTGGTAGGGGGAGGGGAGATTTCGAAGCTTGTGAAGTCCACATTGATACCATTGGGCTGCAGGGTTCCCAAGCAGAATATGAGTTGCTGTTCCTGCAACCTTCGGGTAGCATCGTTGTGGCACTGCAGGAGGCCCAGGATGGACATGTCATCTGAGGAATGGGAGGGGGAGTTGAAATGGATCGCGACTGGGAGGTGCAGTTGTTTAGTGCGAACTGAGCGTAGGTGTTCTGCAAAGCAGTTCCCAAGCCTCCTTCTCCTTTGATGCTGCTTGACCTGCTGTGTTCATCCAGCTCTACACCTTGTTATCTCAGATTGTCCAGCAGATGCAGTTCCTACTATCCCTTATTTGATAGAGACCTTTTGTCAATTCTGCAAAGCAAATTTCACAGACGATGAATTACTTTGTACTTACTCTAATGTACAGAGACAGATTTTTTTTGACAACTATCCTATACACAACAGTATAGCATTAACAGTGATTAGATAACGGACAGTTAATCAGTTTCAGAGTGATTCTGACGGAGGTGTAATGGTTGCTCAGTTTTTCTTTCGATATTGCCACGAGGAGGCCTACAGCTGCAATGTAGTAAGTTACTTTCGCTTCTGAGTCGGAGGCTTTAGTTCAAAAGACTGACAGCCTGCTCTAGCTCTGCACCTTATAGTCTAGACAGGCACTCCAATGCGATATTGAAGGAGTGCTGCAATGTTAGAGGTGCCAGTCTTCAGGTGTCAATCTTTCACTGAGGCACTTGCTGCCTTTTCAAATGAAGATCTTGTCCCAAGCTTCATCCTTCAATAAACATCTCTGGTTGTTATCTGTGGGACTTAGTGTATAAATGGATTCTTTCATTTATCATATAATGATGATTCCATGCTTCAAAAGTCATTTTCAGAGAATTTTCTTTCTTTCATGAAATAGCGGGCTGTTTCTTGCAAAGCCAACATTTGTTTTCTATCAGCTATGGGGCTTACTAGGCCATTTTAAGTCCATGGATCTGGAGTCACACGTAGGTCAGACCTGGTTAAAATCCACATTACCTTCTCTCAAGGGTATTAGTGAAACCAAACAGTATGGCATGACCATCGGCATTGACTATACAGTCATGATTATGAAGAATAATTTAAAATTCCAAATTTATTAAACAAATTTAACTCCCACCACCTGTCATGGTAGGATTTGAACCCATGGCCCACACCTTTAGTCTAGGCCTCTGGTTTACTGGTCCGGTGACAATATCAGTGCACTTCCCCTTAGCTGTAACAATATACTATATCAATTCAAGACAATATCCACAAGAACACAAAGCTATGGCCTTTGTTTATTCTCTTATCTGGACAATAATACTTGTCTCTATGACACTCCCTTATTATTTCATTGGAGTCAGACCAATTTAGGCATTCAGTCTTGGAGAAAGAATCAAATTACTCAGAGGTTGGGAAGTTACAATCTGGCTGAGGCTGAGACACAGATTCGGTCAAGAATTAGATGTTAGAAAACAGGTCATTTGGTATGTATTAGATGGAAATCACTTTGAGCAGTAGTACTGATAATATGTAACACTTTCAGCCCTGAGACCCATTAATGAAGTAACTTACAACTTTTACCTCTTATTTGAGCTAACTTAGATCATTAGTATGTCCCTGATAACTTCTTTCTGCTGAGTTCAAGCTAGCCAATTCCACAAACATTTAGTTTTTGGCATGAAAGATGTAAATAACCATGGTTATTTAGTGGTTAGCACTACTGCCACACTGCACTAGGGTCCCAGGTTCAATTCCAGCCTCGGGTGACTATCTGTGTGGAGTTTGCATATTCTCCCTGTGTCTGCATGGGTTTCCTCTGGGTGCTCCCACAGTCCAAAGAGGTGCAGGTTAGGTGGATTGGCCGTGCTAAATTGCCCATAGTGTCTAGGGATGTGCAGGCTAAACGGATTAGCCATAGGAAATGTGGGGTTACAGGGATAGGTTGGGTCTGGTTGGGATGCTCTTTGGAGGGTCAGTGTGGACTTGATGGGCCAAATGACCTGCTTCCACACTGTAGGGATTGTATGATCCTGCAGGAAAATAAGCTGCCTAAGAATGTTACTTTTCTCCAAGTAACCTGCTTAATTTTAATAAGCCTTAGCTATGCTACAAAAGTCCCAGATATATTAAGGGTCCAGGATTTCTTTCTTCAGTAAATACATTTCCCCACTTAAGGCAATGTATAAAATATTGAAGTTCATTATGGTTGTAATGGAAAAACTTAGATGATTTACTAATTTTACAATTTTATTAACAGAAATTAACAAGCAATACAATTTAAACATACATGAATATTCTAATCTTACATAATCTTGGACAATTATAAATAACATCAACCTGGATTGTCTTCACTTTAGTTTTGCATCTTTTGATAGTTTGGCACAACATTATACCAGTCCTAGATTGTCTAAGACTAGAATATCCATGAACATTTAAAGTTTTACCTTAAAGCTCTCAGCAAGTGAGATATCTTCTCTTGGTGGGAGAAAATTTTGAGAAGTATTATCTGAGGGCTTCTAAAACTCCTGACATTTCAGTGAAATGGGTTTTATTTTTATATTATTTTGACCCCTCCTGCTTTTATAAATGGTGGCATTAACCCTCTGTTTACTTTCCTTCTACTTTTATGTATCATTTAGCACCATTTCTTAATTTTTCAGTGAAGATTCTTTTATGAAGCCAATTATCTAGTCAATTTGTTTGAGGTGTTTTATACTCATTTTTAGATATTCCTTTCATCTCTCCTTTTTTTCTTCCAATTTAAAAGAATCCTTCATTAAAGGTTTATCAGTAAAGATGTTTCATTTCTTTGTCGTTATGAGTTTTGGCTTATTCTGGATTCTAAAGGTATTCATATGATAAGAAGCATTGCAATTCCCATCTGTTGGATGGTTCCAGTAATCTTCTCTTTCAGCCTGTCCTCTTTCTCCTACCCCCACTCCAATGGGACTGTCTGTGGTTTCCAGTTTGGCAGTTAGATGCACCATTTTTCTGCCATTCTCCCATTCTGATCACTACCAACATTCTTTCTCCCCCAGCATTCCCACTTCCCCATTATTGCATAAGTGCTGCTCCCTCCATACTTCATGTTAGCTCTGATGAAGAGTCATCTAGACTCAAAACGTCAGCTTGTTCTATCTCCATGGACGCTGCATGACCTTTTGTTTCCAGTCATTAACAATTTACTTTCATGTCCAAGAGTAATATTGGCGTGTGTCTTTCCAGCCTGTTTAGTATTAAACTATTGTTCATTTTACGTTGTCTGTGCTGAGCATTAGCAATTTATAGAATCTGAGTATCATCTCCATATCCACTTATAAGTTTTTTTTGCTAGTTGCGACAAAATTTTTCATAGTTATCTCTCACATGAATCTTAGCCTTTAAATGTTTTTAATATTTATTGTGTCTTACCTAATTAATTATGCTTACTTCTCAATCAAACCAAATTTCTAACAAAAACAGAAATTGCTGGAAAAGCTCAGAAGGTCTTGCTGCATCTGTGGAGAGAAGTCAGAGTTAACATTTTGGTGTCCAGTGACCCTTCTTCAGAACATCTAACCAGATATTGCTATGTGTACACCTTCATTTCTGGCCTCTTGCTTTTCTCCATTCCTGGCAGTAGTGCCTCGTATCTGCCTAAATTCTAAGCTGTGCAATTCTCTTCCCAAACCCTTTCTCTGCCTCTTGCTTCTCATTTTAAAATGCTCCTTAAAACGACCTCTGACCATGCTTTTGTCCAGCTGGTTTAATATTTCCTTCTGTGACTGTACTTCTTTGATGGGAACACTGCTTTGGAATATTTTAATTCAGTAAATGCATTTTTTGTGTGAAACAAGATATTTCAGAATTCTTTTAGATGTCTTTCTGATGCATGTATACTTGTTATAAGTGAGGCTGAATACTTTATTTTCTTGTTTCTTTCTTTTCCAGGCAACGCATGCCATCCGCTTTCTTCAAATTCCATTTCAAAAACGTAGAATATTCTTCAGGGCGGCACAAAACTTTTTTGTGCTATTCAGTAGAGAAACAGGGCAAGGAATGTGAGAGGTCAGAGGGCTATGTGGAGGATGAGCATGCAGGCACACATGCAGAAAAAGCCTTCTTTACAGATATCTTCACAGAGTGTGATGGGAGCCTGAGATATTCCATTATTTGGTACGTGTCCTCCAGCCCTTGCACGGTGTGTGCTGCCAAAATCGCTGAGTACCTCAGCAAGTGCCCCAACGTGGAGCTCACCATCTTCATGGCACGCTTGTTCATGTGGGAAGAGGCTGAAATCCATCAGGGCCTCCGGCAACTGCAAGCAGCTGGCTGCCGATTGAGGATCATGAAGGGTCCAGAGTATAATTACTGCTGGAACACCTATGTTGACAACGAGGGGGAGGCTTTCACACCTTGGGAAGACCTTCAAGACAGCTGCACGTTCTATGAAGAAAAACTACATGACATTCTACAACATGCCTGAAGGTGAGGACTTTGACAGAATCTTGGGTTGTTGCCTTGCTGATGGTTTTCATTTTATCTCTTTTCCTCATGCATTGGTGCATATTCCTGACAAGGGCTGCATTTATCTTCCACCCCGAGTAGCCTTTAAATGGATCGCTAGGCTATTGCAGAGGGCTGCAAAGAGTCAACTGTATTGCCTTGGGTCAGGAGTTACATGTAGGCTAGATTAGGAAAGGACAGCAGATTTCCTTCCCAAAAGCACATTAATGAACCAGATGGGTTTTTACAACAAAAACAAATAGTTATCACTACAGAGACCACCTTTGTATTCTGGATTTATTTGTTTAATTTAAATTACATTAATGTTGAGGGAGATTTGAATGCATGTTCTCAGGGCATTAGCCTAAATCTTCTGGATTACTAGGCCAGTGACATTAATACCATGCCAACCTCTTCTCTCAGCACACTCATCTATTGTTATTGATTAACAAAAGGTAGGGAAAGTTAAAAATGCCAACACTACTGGTTTGGTTAATGTCCCATTGACTTTTGTACCAATATGTCAGAAGATAAAGAGTTTGAACTCTAATCCAGACAATCCTGGTGAGTGGAGAACACAGCTCCAACTCTGAACCATACTTAATAAATACTGGTGGCCCCTTACCTCATCTTGTGCAAGTCCATAACACTGTCCTGCTGAGCAAACTGTAAATATAAACTGGTATAAAGATTGTAACCATTGAAGGAGATTTATACTGTGGTCCATTAGACTGGTAATTAGCTTGCAAATTCATCTACAACTTCTCATTGTTGTCTGAGAGAAGAATGTAAGAGTGGAAAGCAACATTAGGAATGGATATAAAATTAGTGTGTAAAAACCAGGAGCAGGAGTAGATAATAGAATCCCTCCATTTGATACCGTCCTGACTGACATTCTGCCTTACCTCCGCTTTCCCATATCCCTTCATTCCTCGAAAGATAAAAGATCTAGTGATTCCAGCATTGAATATACACAACAATTGAGCATCCAAAACCCCCTGTGTTAGAAAATTCCAAAGATTTACAATCCTTTTTGATGTAATTTTGCCCCCTTACTCTTAATGGATAAGGCCTCGTATCTTGAGACTATGCCCCTGAATCCCAGATTCACCAACCAGGAAGTACAACCTTTCTGTGTCTATTTAATTTTTAAGTTTCTTCAGAATCTTGTATATTTAAATCCCGTCCCTCTTCATCTAAACTACAGAGAGTACAGACCCAATTTACTCACCATCTTCCCATCATAGCATGATCTGTCACCTCAGGAACCAATCTAGTAAACCTCTGGAATACTTTCTTTTCTTATTTTCTCTCAATGGAAATAGTGTCATTAAATACAGCATTTGAGGCGCATTCTAAATTTCCCTTGCCCTTACCTCCAGGGCAAATGCATCCTTTCTAAGATCTAAATACCAAAATTGCATTGTACTTCAGGATTGAGTTTAGCAAAATCCTTCTCAACCTCACAACTGTTCTTATTCTTGTATTCCAATTCCCTTACACTAAAGACCAATATGTAATCTTCCTTCTTAACTGCTTAGTGTTTCTGTAAGCCAAATTTCAGCATTGAATTTTCTCTACATGATACACATGTAGCCTTGTCACCTTGTTCTTTTTTCCATTCATTTTTGGTGGGATGTGCGCATTGCTGGCTGGTCAGCATTTTTTGCCCATCCCTAGTTGCCCTTGAGAAGGTGGTGGTGAGCTGCCTTCTTGAACTGCTGCATTCCTCCTCCTGCGGGTTGACCCACAATGCTATTAGGGAGAGAATTCCAGGATTTTGACCCAGCGACGGTGAAGGAATGGTGATATATTTCCAAGTCAGGAGGTGGTGGTTTTCCCATATATCTGCTGCCCTTGTCCTTCTAGATGGAAGTGGTCATGGGTTTGGAAGGTGCTGTCTGAGGATCTTTGGAGAATTTCTGCAGTGCATCTTGTAGATAGTACACACTGCTGCTACTGAGCATCAGTGGTGGAGGGAACGGATGCTTGTGGATGTAGTGCCAATCAAGCGGGTTGCTTTGTCCTGGACGATGTCAAGCTTCTTGAGTGTTGTTGGGGCTGCACTCATCCAGGCAAGTGGGGATTATTCCATCACACTCCTGACTTGTGCCTTGTAGATGGTGGACAGGCTTTGAGGAGTCAGGAGATTAATTACTCACTGAAGTATTCCCAGCTTCTGGCCTGTTCTTGTAGCCAATGTGTTTATGTGGTGAGTCCAGTTGAGTTTCTGGTCAATGGTAACCCCCAGGATGTTGATAGTGGGGGATTTAGTGATTGTAAAGCCATTGAATGTCAAAGGGCGGTGGTTAGATTGTCTCTTATTGGTGATGGTCATAGCCTGGCATTTGTGTGGCGTGAATGTCACTTGCCACTTGTCAGCCCATTGTTGCCAATTCACTTAACCTGCCTTTATCTCTTTGTAGTCTATTTGTGTCCTCCTCAGAGCTTAAATTCCTACCTGCCATTGTATCATGAGGAACTCTTGGTCTCTTTGTCCAAGTCATTAACATAGATTGTGAGGTCAGATCCTTGAGGCAATTATACCCTGCCAATTTGAAATGTTCTCATTTATCTCTACTATCTGCTTCTCGTCTGTTAACTAATGTTCAATTCATGCTAATGTTTTACTCCCAATGTGATGAGACCTTACCTTGCTTATTATCTTCGTATGAGGTGCCTCATTGAAAGCCTCTGAAATCCAAGTATACTACAGTTACTGCCTTTATCTAACCTACCAATTACATCTTAAAAACTTGAATAAATTCTTCAAATAGGATTTCCCTTTGTAAAACATTGTTGATAATGTCTGACTATACTATGATTTATAAATTGATTAAAATGATCCTTAATATCAGACTCCAGTATTTTCTTGATTATTGATGTCACGCTAACTGACCTGAGGTTCCCTGTTTCTGCTCTTCCTCATTTCCTGTATCACAGTGTCACAGTTGTTACATACCAATTTACAGAGGCCATTCCAGAATCTAAGGAATTTTGGAAAATCAAAACTGATGCTTTACCACTTTTTTCATTTCCCTCCTTGTGCAAACTTTGCACAGTAAAACAACAGGGCAAAATCAGCAAACTGCTCATCAGACTGGGAGTGTTTGCAATAGAGCTTGTACACAGCCAGTACAAAGGAAAACATCTTCCATCATTTTCACTGTGAGAACAGTGGCGTTGTATGTATATGTGATTTTTACTCTCAATTACTCTTCTGTGGCCTTGTTCGTGGTCAGTCAAAATAAATAGTTAATTTAAGGTTTTGGAGTAGATCTGTAGCTCAGCTTGTGGGTGTTGAGCTCGGCGAGCCAACCAACCTCAAATAGTTAATTGTTGATAGGCTATAATGGCAGCAAGCAGAGGTTTTGTGGTACAGTTGTAGCATTTCTAGCTCTGGACCCGAAGCTCTGGGTTCAAGTCCCAATCCAGGACTTGTTGGCCAAGAGGATGTGTTCACGACATGGCCAAGCAAATTGATTATCAGGCCTATAAGTTGTTCCAGTATGGCAGGTGATAAAAGTGGGAGAGCTTCCTGGTCAGCTGAACAGGCAACAGTAAACCACTGAGGTCCTTCATCCATTAGAATGGAAAATTAAATCATGTTCTTCTAACTTACATTGAACCTCACTAGAGCACTGCAGCAGACCCGACTCTTTCATACCCGTTATGTCAATTTACTTCTTATTTCCACGAACTACTCCATTCGCCTTCACCTACTATGCCAATTCATTGACTATCTAGAATGAGTGGAATTCCACCAACACTCAAGTAGCTCAACATCATTCAGGTCAAAGCTTGACTGGCACCCTTTCTATCATCTTCAACGTTCACTTCCTCCACATCAATACATGGTAGAGCAATGCATACCGTTTACAAAATACACTGTGACAACTCATTAAGGTGCCTTATATTGTACCTTCAAACCCTTAATCTCTACCAGCTAGAAGGACAAGGGCAGTAGATGCATGGGAGCACCACCACCTGCAAATTTTCCTTCAAGTCACAGATCATTCTGACTTGGAATGACATTAATATATTTTCATTGTTGCTGGTTCAAAATCCTGGAACTCCCTCCCTAACAACAGAGTCTGCGAATGGGGCTACATCAGATAATGCTGGCGCCTAAAGCTTTGGGATGGCTGCTGTGTGCTTAGGTCTGGGTTGTGGGGGTGTTCAGCTCAGAGGCTGGGGATATGGGCCAGGAGAAGCTCCAGGTCCCGTGATATCTGTCCCTGGTGCTGTCACTGTGGTATTTTTATATTCTAAGGACTGCAGCAGTTCCAAATTGGCAGCTCATCACAAAATTCCCAGGAACAATTATGGAAGGACAAGAAATGGTGGCCTCGCTAGCGATGCCCTCATCCCATGAATAATTTATTATAAAATCCACAAGTACTAATGCAAGTAGGAGAAAAATATAATTCTGCTATTTAAATTTCTAAATTGCAGACAACACTACATTGAGAAAAGCATTCTCACTCATCAGTATACAGCTTGACAATTCAGTACCCTTATTGACAGTCCTTGACATGTTCCAAAGAATTTAGGTACCACTTATACACAATTTTTTCCTGTGACCATGTCAGCAAAGGTACCTTACTTTTCCAAAGGGGATCCCTGGCTATCCAAAAGAAATCTACTGAATTAATCTACTCGCCTAATCTACTGAACTGAAATCTACTGCTCATCACATTCTAGGTTCCAGGCGCCAGGGAATTCAAGTACTGACTTCATTGAAAGCAGGTTGCAATTTCAGTGGGAACTACTCGAAACGAGCACAACAGCCCTTCCGTCCTCAGGAAAGTGAGAGAGCTGGGTTTGGGAGTGGAACTTGTGCACCGACCCTTTTTTTTTGTAAATGTTTAACCTGCCAAAGTATGTTTAAAAAAAAATCAGTGATTCTTGATTTTTCTGACTACACTTGAGAATGATTTGAATTTTACACAGCCAGGGTGAGATGTTAGTGCTTTCAGG